GCGGCGGGAAACCCAAATCGCAGCTTCCAATGGCACGGGCTCCAGCCTCCACACTGAGGCTTTTCTGTTCCTGTTTTAGCACCAGGACTGCATTCCAAGCTGGTTTCTCTCAGCCCAGGTCGTTCCTGAGTCAGCAGAGCATATCTCCACCTGCTTATGTCTCCTTACTCCACACCCTTCCTGACTTCTGAACCAAGCCTTTCCTAGAGCCTCCGTAGTATCTGTTATCTGTCCGCTGTGTTCTCCCGGAAGTCTAGTATTCTGTTCTTATGTTGGGTTTCTTGGATGGTGATTATTATATGCCTGCATGTACTTTTATTCTGGTTATTGCTATTTGGAGTTCTGTATGCTTCACTGATCCTAATGTCAGTTTCCATTCTCATGTTTGGGAATTTTTCAGCTATTACTTCTGTGAATAGCCTCTTTATATCATTCGTGTTGTTCCTTTCTTTTTCATTTATCCCTATCAATCCTATGTTGCTTTTCTTTGCATCATCTTGCAGGTGTTGAATTGTTATTTCCTGATTCCTTGTTATTATTAAAAGATCTTTCCTTTCCTGTTCACTAGCTGTAATCTTGTCTTCCAGGTCTGAAATTCTATCTTCACTTTTCGTTGAGTTGGTTTTGACAACTTTCAGCAGAATTTTTGATTTCTTGTATATCTCTTTGAATCTGCTTTATGTATTCTGTTTGTTTTTTATATTGGTCATCCAGGGATTCTTTTTGTTTTGTTCCTCAAATTTTTAACTGTGTCTTCTTTAGATGTGTTTAAACATCTCTTTTAATACTTTTATCATTTCTTCTTTTACTTGACAGATTATTTCTAGTTTGTACTCCTGTAAACTTTCCTGAAGTTGCTTCTTTATTTTAGTTGCTATTATTACAGGTATTTCAGGTGTATGGCATATATTTTCTTCTATGTACATGGCTCCTAGGCTTTCTTGGCATGGGCTGGAGGTTTGAGATTGCATTTTGGTCTTTCATTTTGTCATTTTCCTCTATTTCCATGTTTGAAGTGTTTTTCTAAGGCTTCCCCTGAACGTGTTGGAAATATTCACCTAAGCCCTAGGCTCCTGGGACTGAATGGAGGTTGCTGAGCGTGATGCAGTCAGGCCCTCAGGCCCTCCTGTGCCAGCTTCAGTGTTCCAGGTAGCTGGGCAGGCACCTAACCACTGTTGATGATGAGCTAAAGCTGTCCCCAGGCAAAGACCAGTCCCCTGAAACTCACTTCACCTGTTCTCAACTTCCGTAATTGAAGCTCACTGGGCATAATCTACTCAGGCTGCAAAACCTCCCAAGGCTAGTCTAGTGTGGCTGGGACCTGGGCGAGTCCTTGAGCTGGGGGAGCCATGACTGTAGTAAGTCTCCCAGGGCTCTAGATGGGGAGCGGACTCACTCCAGCTGCCAGCTGAGTTTCCCAGTTCCAGAGAAAGTAGATTTTGTTTTTTGATGTAATCGGCCATTTATCTTTTCACTGAGAAATTAAGGCCATTTACATTGATAGGTGTTTACCTGTTCTGGTTATTGTCTAATTTTTTTAAGTGCTGTTTCCTTTTTTTTTTTTTTCATTTTGTTAAACTCTTTTCCCAGTTGACTGTTCTTTTCAGGCTCTTTGATGATGGCCTTGCAGTATTTGTTTTAAGATTTCCTTGAGTGTTTTCTGTGGTACTGTTTTGTTGATCATGAATTTCTTCAGATTCTCATTGTCTTGAAAGGTCTCCATCTCTCTGTATTTTTTGAAGGATAATATTGTGACAATTACCTACAAAAGTACATAGAAATCTGGGTTGACAATTTTCTATTTGGGCTTGAAAAACTTTCCTAGACTTTAAGATTTGTGTTGAGAATTTGACTGTTAATCTGATAGGTTTGCCAATTTATATGTTATTTGGCATTTTTCTTTAATAGCTTTTAGTATTCTCTGTTGTGAAATTTTGGGATTTTTTTTGACTGTGATGTGTCATGAAGAGATTCTTTCCTGTTTCTATTTAGGATTTTAAATGCTTCATTTACTCAGGTATACATTTTACTCTGTTTGATTTGGATTTTTTTGCGATGATTTTTGGGAATAACTTTTTATTACTAGTTTCTCATTCTAATCCTACCTTAATCTTTGTAATTCTAAAGTTCTTTCAGTGTCATCTCTGATGAACTTGGGGATCAATGTCTGTTGTGTTATTATCATTTGAGTGTCTGAATAAATGGCTTACTGTATCAACCTGTTCCTCATGTCTTATTATTCTGTCTTCTGACAGGTTATGCTGTAGCTAAAATTTTCAACTGGGTTGTTCATCTCAAGGATTTCTGCTTGTTTCATACTCAGATTTCTTACTGATGTCATTGTATCCTGCATTATCCTCCTTAAATCATTCAGCTGCTTATTTATATCTTGAGCTAAACAATTTATCATTGTAGTAATTGAATCCTTTAACTAATTATTTTCATCTTCTTTAAGGTCATTTATTTGGTTTTGTTTTATTTTCAGACCAGTTACATTTCAGGCTGTCCTTGGATACACTATGTGATCCAGGCTGGCCTTGAATTCATGGTAATCCCCTGCTTTATCCTCCCAAACCCTGGGATTGTAGGCATGCACCACCATGCTTAGCTCATGTCCAGCTTCTTTATGATTTAGTATTTAATAATTTAATAATTGGTATATTCATCTACTTGTCTTTCTCAACTTAGTCTCTTTAACTACTTCTAAACTATAGTTTTTTTGAAATCTGGAAATTTATCCACTTTATTGCCTGTAAGATCAGCTTTTGGAGAGAATTTTTGGAGACGTCTTGTTGCCTTGTTTTCTCTTAGATTTTTTTTTTTTGTGTTTAATGGTATAGATCAGTTGGGATAGTAGAGATTTCTTTAGGGAGTAGTTTTCTCCCTGTGTTGTGTCTTGGCTTTGAGTATGTGTCATTATGCAGTAATCTGCTCTGCCTATCAGAGTACTGGGTTCAGCTGCTATCACTGCCTTTGTAAGGAAAGAATAGTAACCGATGATGACAGATCCCAAGAACTAATCACATGTCAACACTTAATTTAAAACTTGTTCAAAAAGTTTTATTTTTCATTAATGCAGAAAGCGGAAAGAATACAAGTAATACAGATGGAGAACTAAGATGAAAAAAAGGAATAAATAAAATGAAGTAACAATAAAAACCAAAAAGGAGAAAAAAATTGGTAATAATATTTTATGAGTGAATGGGGGGCAGGGAGAAGGTGTTTGAGAGGTTATATGAGGTGGGCAGAGGTATAGAAGAGAAGGAAATACAAGTGGAAAGTGTGAGAGATTTTATAGGTATTGGAACTAGTGTGTTTTTGCCTGCAGAAACTCAATGCTTGAAGACTCAAGAAGCAACCTTTGGTAAGAGAGAACCCAGTAGGTCTATGTAAATCACGTTAGAAATTAAACAGTTCACCTCATTTAAAGAGAATACACATTTAAGGCCACATTTAGCGAGTAAGGGAGTCTGAGAATGCAAACAGATCACCAAATCTGCCTTATGCATTGACTCTAGGTAGCTGTGGAGGGAGAACCAATGCTTTACCTGATTTCAGTCCTGCTGTCTTTAGTCCACTTTAGTCTCAACCTGTTTTTCTCAGTATCCTTTTCTCCCTCTAGTGAGTTTCAGCCCAGGGTTTTCTGCCGGCATAAATTGTCCTTTCCCACCATGTCTGGAATTGCTGTTCCCTTTTTCAGCTGCTCAGATCTCTCTCTGCAAAGTTAGTAGCTTCCAGGAGTTAGGAGGAGGAGGTTTTTCCTTGTTAGTTCTAGCTGTTTCTCTTCCCACTCATTTCCATTGATCCTAATTGGTATAGGCCTCTGAATTTATCTTTATTTCTTCTGTTTCTCTGTGCCCAGAGCCACATAGGCTGAATCCTGCTACAGTGTGGGCAGTAGTGTTTGGGGTGAGTGCTCAGCTGTGGTTGTCTCTTCCCTTCCATGAAAACTTTTTAGTGTTTCACAAGGTAGCTACATGTCTGTGCCTGGGCTTGAGCCTGTACTCACGTACCAGGAATTATTTTCCTCTTATCATCATGCATTCTGGGCCATTTTATGGTGAGTTCCACCAGTGCTAACAGACTTGGACTATAGCATCTGGATCAAGTGCCCAGTTGGGGCTACCCTTGTGTCCCCCTTCTTTTCCTGGAAATTTGATGCTTTCTAAAGGGTGGCTAATCCTCTAGATTTGGATTGGATTCAGTGCCAGTGATTTGGCAGTCTATTGTATTATCACAGAATCCTGTGTGGGAAACTGTTTGGCTCCCCTGTGCTATGAGCAGTAGTGTTTCTGGGTTTATTTTGGGTGAGGGCATGAGCTTAATATGTGACTTTGCTTCTTATTCAAGCTATTCTGTTTTCTGTATTTTCACTGTTCACTTTATCATCTCATGTAGCCACATTTTGACAGACAGCTATGGTGCATACTCTGGGCTATCTGTATGTGTAGCCTACTTCTCTACACCACTGTGACGGATTTGCTTTTAATTTTTACATTTCTTTTACTCAACATCTTTGTATTGATGCTTCTAAATGTGAAGTTCTGTGGTTCATAAAAAAACATTGAAATTCTACTTTGATCTCTTATAGTTTAATAGTGTCCTTTTAAAATAGTACATATAGAAGGTTTTCAGAAATAATCTTGCCCACCTTGTTTTGATCTGAAGAAATTCAGACTCCAAAAAAACCTTTCCTATAACCTTACAGTTTAATATATACAGTAGGGTACTTCAGTTTGGATTATAAGTTAGTATGGCTGAGTTATGATTGTACAACTCTGATATATATATCGTCTGTCAAATTAGTTGCCCTGCTCTAATTTTCTGTGATACTATCAGTGTCATAAATAGGACTGTGAACCGAAAAGGGAGGATGGAATTTGTAAGACTCAGAGATAATGGGGAAACATGTACTGCTTTTAAAATACATGGGTTCTTTTTTACTATAAAAAGGTAAAACTTTTTTTGAGCTGTTATAACAGTATGTATCCTGTGTTTAGTTCTGTTGTTAGGCATACATCAACTGCTCCATCTCATTCATCACCTCCAAGTGATACAAAGTTGTTAGAAGATGAATTTATAATTGATAAGTCAGATAGAAGTTTTACCAATCAATCTTGGATTACAATACCAAGAAAGGGTAGATCTTGGAACCAACATACAGTATCCTCTACTGGGAGTGCTGCCATTCTTCAAGGTAAGAAGGCAAGAGAACATCAGAGTGTATCGCCCGTGACTCTGACAGGTGACAAATATTTACACAAAACTCACCCAGAAGAGAAATCTGAGCCTTCTTGTGAACAAAAGCGAAGTATAAATTGCACTGTGATAGATAAATTGGAAAATAGTCATAGATCTATAAAAATGTATTCTGAGAAAGCTGAAAGAAAAAAAGGAAAGAGGAAGAACAAAACAGCAAAGCAAGAACAGAAAAAAAAATTTAAGACCAACGTAGTTGAAGAACAGCTTGATACAGGACAGTCTGAAGAAGAAAATATATCAGATATTACCCAAGACAAGATACCAAGAAATTCAGAAAGAACTATTGAAGATTGTGAGAAGATGAGAAATGATCACAGTGCCACAAAAGGGATGCCTCCTGTGGGTAAGTGTTTGCATTAAATAATAACTGTACGTTATTCCACCATTTTATGTTTCTAATGTCTTTGCTTTACTTTACTTTAGTAAGTAAAGCTAAGTCTACAAAGAGCCTCAGAAACCTATAGTTTCTTTTTGATGTGTGATTCAGTTCCAACTCTAAAGGTTTTTGCTTAAATTCTGAATTGACGGCATACATAGAGGTAAATTGGAAAGGGGAAGATGGATAAACAAGTTAGTGATCAAAATGTGAGTAAAACAGCATCATAAATAAAGTTACTAAAATTCAAGCTAAAGAAAAAACTCAGGATATTTAGATGCACAGGATTAAAGTAGAAGCACCGAGAACAGTTATCTAAGCAATATATCATAGGCGTTTATGTCTTGGGTGACCATGTAATTTGTTGTCCCAATCAGGACTTTTGAGAATGAGAACATCAAGACAAAACATAATCTGGAATTGTCCCAGAGAAACCTAGGATGTAGGTAGCTCTGTTTGTATCATCATTGTATAGTTGATTTTAACTTATGATGCAGAAAAGTCAGTTTATGTTCTTTGGTTTTTTGTTTTGGTTTGGTTTTTGTTACTGGGAATCGAACTCAGGACCTTATTCTTACCAGGCAGGTGCCTACTGCAGAACTATATCCTGGCTCCCGGAAAAATTCTTATAAAAAGAATTCTTTTCAGAATAGGTAATAACAAAACACTTTATCAAAAGTGTTAGGCACTTTATATTTTTGTGTAATATAAATTAACTTTTGATAGTCCTGTATGCTAGGAGATAACACACAGAAGAGATTAAAAGAAAAAAAGAGAAGATCCAGGACATGTCCTGTGTAGAGTACGTAAAACTATTAACTAAGTGGAATATGTTTTTGGCTACAATATTTACACATGTGGTTTCTAGATGATTATACTGTATTACTAATTGAGAGGAGAGGAAGACAACAGTATTATAAACTTTTTTTTTTAACATTCTACTTTACTACATTTTTAAAATTCTTGTTTGGTTTAGTAGTAATATAGACTACATACTGTCTTAACATAACAGTTGGTGGATTTCCTTTTTGTCTCTGTGCCTTTCCTTATGTTGCTTAAAATAGCCACCTTTTCTGTTTTGAGGAAGTCTTTTGTAAATGTCTTCGTTGTCCCATATTCTGTGAATTGGATTATTTTTTTGGCGGCTTGCTTTAGTATTTAATTAGTTGTTAGTCACTTTAAGAAAATGTAACATAATGACTGACTAATGTGAGGGTTTAGTTACAAGAGTTTTTTTCTTACTGCCCTTAAGCAGAATGTGAATTCATAAAATTTGAAGGTGCAAAATTTTGATGAATCTATGAGTATTAAGAAAAGATAATACTTCATGCTTTCTTATAAATATGAAACATATTGAGTACTTCTTGTATTATGCATACAAATTTTCATGTTCTTTAGATTGGTTAGTAAATTCAATGTTCTGATTAATTACTGCGCTGTACCAGCTGTACTATTTTATTGTTGTAACAAAAAACTAAAAACATAATGGCTTAAAGCAACACACGTTTTTTTTTTTTAATCTTACAGTTCTGCAGGTCAGAAGTTTTACTGGGATAAAACCAAGATATTGACAGAGCCACATTCCTTTCTGGTAGAAAAACAGTTCCCTTCCTTTTCCAGTGTGTTGAAGCCATCCCTATTCCTTGACTTGTGTCCTTCAGTATCACCAAAGCCAGCACTTCAAGCTTCTCATGTTTGAATTTCCCTTGCCTCTTCTTCCATCATTTCATAACTCTCTGATCTCACCTTTTAGAGAAACATTGGTTGATCCAATCTGGATAATCCAAAACTATCTCATTTGAAAGTTTATGATTTAGTCACAGTTTTAATTTCATCTTCCAAAAATGACATTGAAAAAAAGATTGTTTCAAAATAAAAGTACTAATTACCTATTTTAACTCAGGACATTGATATGTAGTCAGAAGAATAACATTTTTTTCCAAATATATTTTTTATTTGTTTTTTTTGGGGGGGTTAGACGTATATAAGAATTACCAAACAACTTGAAAAGTTTGCATTTAATTGACAGAAAGTTAGAAATCTTTTAAAAACATGTGACTTCAGGACAGATACAAAAAGAAACCTATGATAAAGTTTTAAAGACCTTTAAATTTTCTTCAATGTAGGTTTTCATGTCTTTCTTTATTATAGAAAATATGAAAACAAAATGTAGAACCAAAAAAGATAGGAAAGAATCCAGAAAGAAGCATTTTTCCAGTGAGTCTAAGCGGAAAAAACTTGAACCTGAAGAAACAACTTCCTTTGTCACAAGAAGTCACAGAGTTTCCAGGCGTCCATCTGATTGGTGGGTGGTACATTCAGAGGAAAGTAAGTATATTTAAAATAGGTTTATTGAGTGGTTCCCAAAAATCATTTTTGGACAAGTTTATGTTTCACTTACATTGCGTTATACAGAAAAATAGGATAGAATTAAATTGATCATGAAAAGAAATATTAAATCAATTATAAGGAAGTTCCTAGATGTTCCAACATGCAGTGTTCTGGGTGTGTGGATACTGCAGTAGAAAAAGAAGCTCAAAAACAAAAGGTTCTTGCTCTCATGGAACTTACATTCTAATGGGAGAAGACAATATAGATAAATAATTCGTGTGTTGGTAATAGGAAAAATAAAATAATGGATAGAAATAGAAAGGAGATGACAGGAATGGGCATGGATAAGAGGTTAGCAAAGCATATTATTTTTATAACAGTTAGTATGATAGCCTATCATGACCTTTCAGAACTTATGTATGAGGGAGCCACACAGAGACAGCTAAGAGTGGAGCTTCCCGTACCAAGGCAGTAGTATTTGTAAGTGACCTGATGGAGAAGAACTGTGCAGCATGAGCAGAGTGAATCAGAAGGTAAATTTGGACAGGCAGACCCAATGGGTTGAAAACTGCAGTGGGAGAGGAATGTTGGTCTGGGGAAAAGTGGAAGCATTGTGACTAGTTTTAGGAGGATGGTGAAGGTAATAATAATAATTGGATTCAGAATTATTTTTTGAAGAATGTAAAAGGAAGGGGTACTAATGGGTTGGATGGAGAGAAAGCCTGGGATTACTCACAGATTGGTAGGTTTGCTTTGATTTTTTGAATCAGGGTCTCATTGTGTAGTCAGGTTGCCCTTAAACTCGCTGTGTAACCCAGTGACCTTGAACTCAGGAAATTTTTGCTTCAGCCTCCCAGCTGCTGGGATTCAGGCATATGCCACAACTCCCAGGATGTTTGTTTGTTTTTGAGAGAAAAAGATTTGAGAAACATTGAAAAGTTCAAGTTTTTATATGTTAGATAACATCCTCCTGGATATACTAAGAAGGTCCTCAGATCAGCAATGAGACTACATATGTGACGGCTCGTTGCTATGAATTACTGAATAACAGGAACAGTTGTGAATTATTGGGATCTTTGATTGATAACAATTATTACTCACTGCAGGCTTCCTTGGATTTTGAAGTCAAATTTGAGTTCAAATTGACTCCTCTCTTTTGGTAGTACTAATTCCTCTGCTTTGAATTTTGATAATGATTATATGCCATCAATATAGGTAGTAGATTGAAATATTAACTACTACTATATTACTGCTTTGGGGAGCCAGCTTTTCATCATCAAGTTTCCTGAAATGGGTAATAAAAATGGGTAATAAAAATCTTACAGCAGTTGGATAAATGTGCTCTGAAACTTAGCAAAAAACTGTAACAGTCCTGAAAAACATGTTGGATTTCTGAACAAGTTTAGAGTCATGAAAGCAAAGAAGTGTTCATAGTTCGTATAGTCCAAAATCCTTCAGCTGATAGAAACTGAAATCTGAAGTTCAGGAAACAACATGATATTGTGCATGTAACACATATGTGGCACTGCTGCCCTTTTGTGTATATGAATATACAAAAAATACTAAGTGCTTGTGTGGCAGGAATGGTATGCAGGGCTAGGACTAGTGTAATACAAATGAAGCAGAAAATCTTTAAGAATCACTTGGTTTTAGGATCTTGTGAGTTCAGGCTCTTACTTGAATGACCTCGAAAGTGAGTGCTTTCTTAAAATTTTCACCAGAGTTTACTATTTTGCTTTACAAGTGATATGCTGCTGCTGTTAGGCATTACGAACATGAGGTAAAACACTAGTCAGTGCCTTTGTCTGTCACTCTGCTTAAGGAGAGGGATAGTGATAAACAGATGTGTGATGAACATGATCAGAGAAGTGAGAGAGAGAGCTAGCCTAACATTTAGATTCTTGAAGGATGAATGAGGAGCTACCTAATTGGATGGCAGGGGGAGAAAGAATGGGGGGTCTCAAGGGGAAATAGCATGTGCAAGTTTGGTCTGTATTTATTTATTTATTTATTCTCTCTGTAATGTGCCTCAATTATCTGAAGGACTTGTCTGAGAACATTACTGGGCCCTCTCTGCCTGGTTCTGATTCTGCAGGTCTGAAATAGGACCTGAGAATTTATTTTGTAATCAAAGGTTGAACTTAATACTAACCAGTCTGAGGAATGTCTTTTGAGAGCCAGTGTTTTAGAGAAACTGCAAATAATTCATTACTTCTGACTTTTTTGGTTTCTTAGGGAAAGGGGATATGAGAGCGGTCATTAATAAAATAGGCAAACTGTTGACAGTCAGGAGGGTGTGAAGAAGGCACAACTGAGAAGCAGGACTAAAACATCTAGTGATTGATCTGAGAAGAAGCAAGAGTTTTAAATGACTCAGATTTGTGATTTAGACAGCTGGGTAGTTTTACTCTTCATTAAGAGAAAGTAAAGCAAGAGAGACTGATTTAGGGAACAATGATAGGTAGATATCAGTTGATATTGGCAGTTAGCTATTAAAGCTATTTGGAGATAGGTCTGACAGAGATAGTACATAGTGTGTAAAGTTGAAGCTGGAACCTTGAGGAATGTCAAGATCCTAAGGATGATCACAAGACTAGTGGGGAAGACTCAGAGAGGGCTGCTTGAGATTATCATGGATTTAATCAGTCTGGTACATGTCTCTAAATTTGAATTTAATGAGTTTTTATAAATTTAAAGTGAAAATATTTAGCCTATGAAATTACTTTGTGTGTATGTATTTTAACTGGTTCATGAATACTTTTGTTTACAATTTGGTTTGCAAATTTTGTGGTTTTTTGTTTGTTTTTTGGGGTTTTTGCAGTATCTCTTATCATTAATTTCTAATTTCATAGCGCTATGATCTGATAACATGCAAGGGATAATTTCAACTCTTTTGCATAAATATGTTCTGTGAGCAAATATATGGTCTATTTTAGAAAATGACCCAGGTACTGCTGAGAAGAATGTGTATTCGGATGTTGTTGGATGGAACACTCTGTGTACGTTTATCAAGTCCATTTGTTCACAGGTGTGATTCAGTTCTGTTATTTCTTTGCTGATTTTCTATCTGGTTGATCTGTCCCTTGGTGTCAATGGTATGTTAAGGTCTCCTGTTAGAATTGTGTTACTGCTAATTTGGTTATTCATTTCTGTTAATACTTGTTTTATATAACTGGGTGCTCTAGAATTTGGTGCGTATATATTTAAGATAGTTATCTCTTCCTCTTTAAGTTTTCCCCTAACTGTGTATTGACCTTCTTTATCTCTTCTGATCTTATTGGTTTAAAGTTCACGTTGTCTGCAAACAGAATGGCTACTCCTGCTTTTTTTGGGTTCCTGTTGCATGAAGTATTGTTTTTCATCCTTTGACTTTCAGTCTATGAGTATCCTTTTGAGTTAGATGGGTTTCTTGCAGACAGCCTATGGTTGGATGTTGTTTCTTGATCCATTCTGCCAGTCTGTTCTAGGTGATCTGTCTTTTCTCACTAACAGCTTTTAATATTCTATTCTTATGTTGGATTTCTAGGATGGTGATTATTATATGACTGGGTGTAGTTTTATTTTGGTTACAGCTATTTGGAGTTGTTGAATTGTTGTTTCCTGATTCCTTGTTATTTTTAAAAAAATCTTTCCTTTCCTGTTCACTAGCTGCAATCTTGTCTTCGAGGTCTGAAATTCTGACTTCACTTTCATTGAGGTGGTTTTTACAGCTTTCACTGGAATTTTTGATTTCCTGTATATTTCTTTGCATCTGCTTTATGTATTCTGTTTGTTTCTTATATTGCTCATCTGGGGATTCTATCTTTTTGTTTAGTTCCTCCAGTTTTTTAACTGTGTCTTCTTTAGATACATTCAGCATCACCTTCATTTCTTTTATCATTTCTTCTTTTACCTGATAGATTATTTCTAGTTTGAATTCATTTAAAGCTTCTTGGAGTTGCTTCTTTATTTCAGTTGCTATCATGTCTGATATTTCAGTTATATGGCATGTATTTTCTTCTATGTACATAGCTCTTAAGTTTTCTTGGGGTGGGCTGGAGGTTTAAGATTGTAATTTGGTCTTTTGTTTTGTCCTTTTCCTATATTTCTGTGTTTCAAGTATTTCAAGCGTTATTCCAAGGCTTCCCCAGGGTCTACTGGAAATCCTGTTATATGCCCTCAGCTCCTGGGACTCTAGCCACCCAGTTCCCCGGATTGAGAGAGGGTCACTGGGGGTTGGGCAGGCCTGCTCAAGCCCAGCCTCTGGAGCGGATGGCGCCTGCTTGCTTGCTTAGAGCTCCAGAGTCCGCCAAGCACAGCTGGGAGCAGGGAGGCCATTGCAGGCCGGCTCAGGACCCACCACACTTGTCCAATGCAATGGGAAGCCGCGAAGTTCCCTGGGGCCAAACGAGGGTCCCAAACTAGCTGGCCCCGGGTTGGAGGGGAGGACGGGGGGGGGGGGGGTGACGACTTAGCTCAGGCCGCCCAACATCTGGAACCAATGGCGCCCGCTTGCTTACTTAGAACTCGAGAGTCCGCCATGTACCTTTTGTTTGTTTTTTGCAAATTGTATCAGGTGACAAACATGACTGTGACCATCTGTCCCACATACAAATGAGCCCAACTTTTCTAAAATCATAGAACAAAATTTGTGAACTGAGGCCCCACTATAAATACAATTTTATTCACTAAGCCGGATTATCTGGATAATATCGTAACTTTTAAATTTTGATTGAATCCTCCAGGTCCTGTTCATAGCAATTCACCCAGAAATGATGTATCATTGTATCACAGCAGTAGACAAAAACTTGCTGAGAAAACAAATCAGTCATCTAAGAAGAAAACTGTTCAATCAAAAAAGCAGAAGGCATCTACTCAAGGCAACTCAAGAGTACAACAGTTTTCAAATGTTAAAGGTTCTGGAGGTATTACTGACCATGAAGTTTCCAGTTGTCCCCAGAATGAGCCAATGGAAAGTAGTGAGGCAGACCTGACTACGGAAAAAAATCTTGATAGTTCCAGGTAATATTCTACATGTGTTCAATATACTTATTTTTATTGTTTGGCATTTAAGAGCTGGTCTGTTATTTAATCATTCATAGATAGTATTAGCATGAAAGACTCTGCGTTATAACAAACTGTTGTTAAATCCAGGCTCTGGATTAGCTGAGTGGCACCCAGGCAAAGTACTGCTCTGAATTTGTTACCTTTTATTAAAATGGCGGTAATATATAGGCATATAAGATTATGAGTATTTAAAAAAGGATTGTTGTCTGAGTTGCATCCTTTTTAAAAAAGTTGTGATAAAAGATACATAGCATAAAATTATCATAGTAATTTTTTAAGTATAAAATTTTTGAAAATGATTACTGAGATTAGTGATTAGGGGCTTATCAGTAATTTTCTTCTTAATAGTTAGCATTTTTTTTTTTTTTTACTATTCGCTTATTTTTAAAGGATTCTCATCAGTCCTAACAACCTATTGAGCTTATGTTTTTTGTGTTTTTGCTTTTTGCTATAGCACATGTTCAAAAAATATTTGAGAACACTGTATGCGAGAAACAGCAAGGTGCTAAGGATGCACTGAAATAAACAAATAGAATGTCCTAAAATATATTTGTATGTCATCATTGTGCCTACGGTATTTCATGTAAATCCTGAAATTTTAGGTTTTTCTGACCATTTTTCATACCTACAAAAGAAATGTTGGATTTGATTCACTAGTATTTTATTGAGAGTTTTGGTCTATAGTGTGCTTTCCTTGCAATATCTTTGTCTAGCTTTGGTATAAAAGTAACACTGGCTTTGTAAAATGAGTTGGGAAATATTTTCTCTTTTATTTTGGAAGAATTTTAGAATTTATATTAATTCTTCGAATGCTTGATAGAATTGAGCGGTGGAACCATTTGGGGAACTTTTCTTTGTGGGGAGATTTTTAAATACCAGATCGTAGATCTTTTCAGGCTATTTCTTAAAATCACTTTTTTGTGTTTTTCAGTTTCGTTCATCTCTATTACGAATAAAGTTGTTCGTAGCATTCTCTTGTGGTCATTTTTATTTCTTTTGACTCTTGATGATATAGGACTCAGAAGTATATGCTTAAAACCTCTAAAATTAAACTCTCAAAATAGAATATTTTGCTTGCGTATATTTTGGGCTAACTGATCATGTGAGCACTACCAGAGAGGTGAACTGGGTCCTTTCAAGGGCCTATTGTCTTCGCAAATAGGCTGACTAGGAATGTTAAAGAACATGATTTTACCAGTAAACTGATAGATTAACTGAATAGTATGCACCACAAACTGCCTATCGTTCATCTCTCCCATTTCCTTCGCCTTGTTACTTCCTTCTTGGACCAGGTCGCACCACCTCTCTCATCAAAAATTTCCAAATTATTAATCTTATGAACTGCTAGAATTTGTTTCCTTACCTAGCCAGCTGTTAAGTTTTAGGTCGTGAACATAGTCAGCCAATACATGTTCTACCCAATATTATATTGTTTATATACCTTCCTGTGTATTGTTTCTCTGTTTTTTTTTTTTTTTTTTTGAAGAAATATAAAATGTTAAACTTTTCACAGTGATAGAACAACCAAACACTCCAAAGATCGAGGTGGTGTTATGTGCACACAGAATGTTCACCTACAGTCTCAGACCAACGAAGAAGATACATGTGCGGCACCAACAGAGTCTAATTTGGATTCTGGAGAGCATAAAACTTCAGTTTTGGAAGAAAGGTATGCATGAATTCAAAGATAAAAGGATTTATTCACTGTAGTGAATGTTATGTGACAGATTAACCCAAAACTCAATTTTAATTTAATTAATGGCTTCCTAACATTTATTGTTTCATAGTTACTGTGGATCAAAAACCTGGAAGAGGTTTAGCTAGCACTTCTGGCTTTAGGATTCTTAGGAGATAGTAGTTAAGATGTCTTTTGGTTTACAGTTTTTTGCAGGTTTGACTTGAACTGACAGGTCCATTTTGTAAGATTTCACATGTGGCTGTTGGTTGAAGGCCCTAGTTGCTTACTCAGCCAACAGACCTCAGTATTTTACTGTGTGGAGGATGACTTCCTATAGTGCAAGTAATTTAAGACGAAAGTTTAGGAGGCTGGGGATTTAGCTCAGCGGCATAAGCACCTGCCTTGCAAGCAGGCGGTTGTGAGTTCGATCCCTGGTACTGATTAAAAAAATAAAATAAAGAAGAAAGCTTAGCTGGGATGGAGATTGCACGGAGTTTTAGTAACATAATCTGTGAAGTTGTACAGTCACTTCTATATTCTGTTCATTACAAGTCACCAGAAATCCATACTATATCTTAAGTGAGGGGAATTAGGTTCCATATCTTAAAAGGATGCTTATTAAAGAATTTACAGATATATTGTTAAAACAACCACTAATTCTGCACAAGTCAGCTTATGTGTATTTTGTCTGAAGTCATAAAGCCTTTTAAAATGAATGAATGATAGCAAATTCTAAGGTTTAACTGATGATTAAAGGTTTTTACTTTTGTGAGTTGTAGGCAAGCTTATCCTCGATTCATAATAGGAGAGTATCTAGGACTGGGTCAAGTTGATCATCTGTGACAGTTTGTGGATGACATTTTACATTCCATTTAGTGTGTACTGTAGCTTTTTGTAAGATTAAGATAATGCTGATTTTTCATTTTTTCCTATAATTGCTACTGTAAATATAATTGTTTTTGTCATTAGACTTAACCATATAATTTATCTATGAGTTTAGTTTAAAATGTTATAAATTTAGTATTTACCATGTCTGGCCATCAGTTATAATGTTAAATTGTAGCCTTTGTTTTATGCAGCAAGTTAAGTGTATTCTTGGTGACCCGTAACATCATTGTTGATTTTATAAGAAAGAAAACTATGACAGTTTAGGGGAAAAAATGATCATTAAGCTTAGATACATTAGATATGGATATTATAAAAATACAATTTTTTTTTCTTTAAGTGGACCTTGTAGGCTGAAGAATTATTTAAAGTCTCGAAAAAATATTTCTGATATGAATAATGAGGTTCAGGAAAGTTTAGGTAAGTTACTGTTTGTTTTTTACTGTCTTGATTTTTTAACGGCAATGTGGGTATGCAGTAAGGTGTGTTGTTTTATTTTTTTAGCTTTCACTCATGGCGAATGTGTGTACTCCAAAGCTTACTAAACAGAGATTTGTAACTGAAAGAGGGACAGAAAATGAATGACAGTTTTAAGTAGGGCATAAAGCAATATTGGTGTTCAAAATGTCTCATCCCAACCATTTAAAAATGTTATGTTAATGAAGGCATAAAAGAAGCAAGATTAGCCATCTATTTATGGTTATTGAAGTTGAGTGATGCAACATATTAGGCTTCCTTATAGTTTTTTCTCTTATTTTGAATAGTTTTGAAACTTTCTATGCTGAAATTTTTTAAAAGACATCTTAGAGTTTCATAATTTTTTTTGTGCCCCTGAAGAATGTATGCTTACATATAATCTGCTTTTTTCTTTCCTTGGTTCACTAATTCTTTTTCCTTTTTTTAGTTATTTTTCCTGACTTTAGATTTAGTGTTGTTCTCTTTTTGCATCAATATATATATATTAACTCTATGATTATTATTGCTTTATCAACAGTTTTGTAGAGAAGAAGCAGTGACTTTTCCAGAGTACAGTTTTGACTTCATTTTATAATGTGTGATACACTGTAGTGTGGTTGGACTGTGCTCATACATTACAGTGATCTTTTTCTTTGACCCAGGAGTTGTCAATCATTGTGCAGCATCCAGGTCGTGGATTAAATCCAGTTGTACATGTGCTAGCTAGCTATTTTATTCAAGGAAGATATGTCAATGTTTTTTAACTTCAGATTCCTTATCTGTAAAATGGAGGTATTAGTTCCAATCCCATAGATCAATGTATTTGGTATATATTAAATTCACAGTGTTGACTATTATCTTAAGAAGTTGTGTTAATGTTCTCTGGTTTTATTTTATTGTTCTAGACAACTTTGCCTGTATTATTTATTGCTTGAATGTATTAAATTTTTTTTGGTATGTGTGTTCATGTTCTAGTGTAAGCTGTTTCTGTAATATTTCCAGATACATTTAAAAAAGAGAATATTTTGTATTTAGAAAATATATACTTGCTAATTATTTTGTTGATCATATATGTGAATATATTTTTTGGATATACTTTGAATATTTATAGAACTCTGTGGAATATTTTCAAATTTCTTTATTTTAAAGGAAAAAAAAAACACAGAAAAGAAAAACTTGAAATGAACAAACAACTACAAGAAAATCAAAAGCCCCAAAACAACATGTCCTGAATTTTTATCTACAGTGACTTATTTCCTCCATCCATGAACAGTGGAAAACCTGTCTGCTCTTCATTACTTTTTAAACAATTATGCTATCTAAATATGTTTATATATATAGTTTTTATTTCTGTACATTGAAAAAAAGTAAAGCATATTGTCAGGTCAAATATTATTTAAAATACTTTTACTGAAGTTAAGCAAGTAACAACTTTTAAGTAAGTATGGAGTTAATAGCTACTGCTCATGGTATTATCTTTTGCATTTTGCAGATAACTTAAGAGTTGAAAGATTTGAAGTGGCACCCTGGAATAAAGTTAAAATGCATCACAAATTAGGTAATGATTAACTTGTAATTTTTTGTACATTTATTCTTTTAATATTTCCCATTGAAGCAAATGCTATTAAATGTTTTTAAATTTAATTTTTCCTTAGTAGAGGAAATGTTATTTGAATTAATTAATAGATGAATTAAAGTGACATACATAATATTGTATACTGTAGCTGGGGATTTGGCTCAGTGGCATAGCGCCTGTCTGGCAAGCACTAGGCCATGAGTTCAATCCCTAGTACCAAAAAAAAATATTGTATACTATAGCGAAGCCCTTTCTCAGATCTCTCAGTCCAGAAAGTTCATATTTTTAATCTCATGGAGAAGTTATTGGAATTTCAGTGAGAGTGGTGGGTAATAAGTGAGTGCCATGAGCTGGGCTAGGTAAGAGGCCTCAAATCACCTCTGCAAAATACAGAGGGAAAGAAATTGGAGAGAGTGATCTAAGTAACAACTGAGATAGGATCTAATATTTTGGGGTTTGTGCTGGTGATAGGACCTAGGATCTTGTACATGCCAGCATATGCTCTTAACACTGGGCTAAGTCCCTATCCTAGGGCCTATCACTTTGATGTAATCATGGAGAAAAGAGAGTTTAGTTTTTGAGTTCTATTGAAAAGAGAGTTTAGTTTTTGAGTACTATTGATACTTTTGAGAAAAGTATCAATAGTAGAGTGAAAAATAGAACAAATCTTTGACATGATCAAGAAGAGATTGTAAAAGAAATGGTCATTCAACCAATTAAAGTAGAGAGAAAGAAAACTCCTAGATATAAATAACAAATATAAAGTGAGATGGAATAAAAGGAGAGCATGTTGTTATTATACTCAGAAAATGTGAATAGTCTGAATTCCTCTAATAAGTTAGAGACTTTGGATTTAGTTAAGTAATACGTCAAATTGTGTTCATTAAAAAACATTTGCCTATTTTTAAAGAATTAAGTGGGCTGATGTAAACTCCACAAAATACAGTTTTAATATTAGCTAAAGAAGAGTAAAATTTAAGATTAAAACTGTTGAACATGTTAACAATGAACATACAATGAAGTGAGTAGTTTATGAAGAAGGTAGAAAAATCGTATTCTTGTGCACCAAGCAACATAGCAAGTAACACTCATAAAGAAAAGAATGAATAGAAAAAGGAATGCAGATTTTATTATTTTATTTTTTATTTTCTTTATTTTGAAGAGAATAAAACCAAATGAAAGAAAACAAAACGGGATCAGTCAAAGCAAAAGGATGGGCATAGTATGTGACTTAAAATGAAAATACACGGTGATCAGCAATGGTTACTGTAATATCTCTTGTTAACTTCAGTGGAATTGCCCATATCATCAGGCATAATAAAATTGAACATAACAGTACAGAACAAAATCAATAAAAATAAAACATTGGAGACATTATAGTACTTCAAAAGAAAATAATAGTCAAACCAGAATGGGCATCATAATGAATGTTACTGTCTTCTAAGTAATTGGTTACACCCTGGGACTTGATACTATCAAACAAAACAGATTCGAATAAAATCAATCAAAACAAGACAGTGATCAAACAAAACAGGTTCACATAAAATCAGTCAAAACAAGACAGCAAAAGCAATACAGGACTTCAGATTAAGTTAATAAGAAATCAAAATGGTTACCCATGTATGTCCTGCTGTCTTTGAAATAGCTGTCCATGCCATCAAATCTAGTACAAGTAGACAAACTGGAACAGCATATAACCAAACTAAACAGTGATGAAAACAATTTGGATTTCAAATCATGATACAAGATTAACAATGTCCACTGCCTTCCTTTTTTAGGTAATTCCTCCCCTTTCACTTTCACGGGGCGTGGGGTGCATTGTACATTTTGTATCCCACCAACTCCTTTAGTTTTTAGATTAGGGAGTCAACCCGCTATTTACCTAAGGGATTGTGAATCTTTTTACCCCTGAGTTTGATCTCAAGTTGTATTCATTTTCCTACAAGAGCCTCAAGGTTTTCCTTCCTTATAGTTGAGTACTTCTCCATTGTATAAAAGTGTTACGTTTTTCCAACCAATCTGTACCTGATGGACAAGCTACCCCCACTTTTTCCTGGTTGCCTGTCACATAGAGCATTATTTTCTCATCTTACACTTTCAGTTCATAAACCCTCTTTCAGGTTAATTATATTTCTTACATAGAGCATATTGATGGCCTATCTCCTGATCCACTCTGTTTTTTTTTTTTTATTAGTGTATCGAGGCCATTTTTGTTAGTGATTATGGCCAACCATCTCTGCCATGCTATTTTTCTGCTTTTGGTTGTCTACTTTTTCCCTTCATTCCACTGTCTGTCCTATTCATTAGCCCTCTTCTGCTGCTGTTCTTGAAACCATGGTCTCTTTTTCTCTCTCTCTCTAGAATGCCCTTCAGTACTTTTTGTAGGGTTGGATTGGTGGTCATGAACTCCTCCAGTTCCTTTTTGTCATGGAAGCATTTTGTTTCTCCATTAATTTTGGGAGATAGTTTTGCAGGGTACATCATTCTGGGTTGGACGTTATTTTCTTTCAGTGCTTGGAATATTCACTCCAAGCTCTTCTTGATTTGATGGTTTGTGTTGAGAAGTCTGCCGTGATTCTGAAGGGTTTTCCTTTATAGTTGATCAGTTTCTTTTTTCTGACAGCTTTTAATACTCTGTTCTTGTGTTGAATTTTTGGGATCTTGATTATTATATGTCTAGGTGTAGATCTATTTTGTTTATAGCTGACTGGAGTTCTGTATGCCTCATATATCTGAATATCATTTCCTTTTCCTATGCTTGGGAAGTTTTCTTTAGTTATTTCTGTAAATAGTCTTTGTATTTCCTTTGTGTTTACCCCTGCTTCTTTGTGTTCACCCCTGCTGGAGTGGGCGATTGGCTGGGCACCATTTTAGACTCAGACAGGATAAGTCCAGAACCAGAACTGCAGCCACTTTCATTCAGCCACTCCGAGCGGAGAGCAGATTGGTGAAAATCACTTAGACTCACATTTTTTATTCTTAAGTTATAGATCCTCTTGTCATCTTCTAGCCTTTATATTGTTAATTCCTGGTTGCTTGTTATTTTAAGAGATCTTTCCTTTCGTGATCAGAAGCTACAAATCCGTCTTCAAGGTTTGATAGTCTGTCTTTAGTTTCTTTCAAGCAGTTTTGCCAGCTTTCAATGGAGTTTTTAATTTGCTGGTATGCTCTTTCAATCTGTTTCATGTATTTAAATTTTTTTTTTTCTATTCTCCATCCAGGGTTTCCCTCCTTCTTCTCTGATCCTCTATTCTTCCATCTGTGTCTTCTTGAGAGGTGCTTAGCATTTCTTTTATTATTTTTCTCATATCTTCCTTTTATATTTCTGTTTTAAGTTCTTTTGTAGTTTCACGAAGTTGTTTGTTTATGTTAGATGCTGTTGCTTCAGAAACTGCAGGTGTGCCACTCCTGATCTCTTCTGTATTTACCTCTCCTGGGCCAGTACTGCTTGGGTTGGAGGCTGGAGACTGCCTTTCGTTTCTTCCTCTTGTCATGTTCCTGGTTTCTTCCAGACAAGTGGGTAAGGCGGTCTCTGGTACTTGATGTATTGGTTATAATTACTCTGAAACGTGCTGGCTAGGAGTTGCTGGTTTCTCCAATCTGCTGGTGACTACTTGGGTATAAGCAGAGGTGAGGCAGGCTGGCCTGTCCCTTCTGAGCTGGTTAATCACTAGGAGTCTTCACCAGCTAGTGTGTGCTGCATGTTTGGGGTTGACTAGGGATAGCTTTAGGGAAAACTTGGCCTTGACTATTGGATCACACATGAGTGCGACTCAGTCCAAGCAGTTTTCACCAATCTGTTCTCTGCTCAGAGTGGCTGAATGAAGCTGGCTGCAGTTCTGGTTCTGGGCTTATCCTGTCTGAGTCTAAAATGGTGCCCAGCCAATCGCCTACTCCAGCAGGAGGACTGAGTCCCCGACACTCACTGCCAGCCAGTACAGTTCTCTGGTTACTTCTCTCCTCTGCCACTGTGTCTTCTTGCTGAGGCCTTCAGACTTGCCAACCCCCAACTTCACTATGACCATGCGTCTCTGGAATCTAGTGGTGCTTGGCACACAGTGAAACCAGCTCTTGTGAAAGGGAGTCTGGCTCCTGCCTACTGTTTAAGTTTTTTTGTCCTGTCCTGTCCTGTCCTGTCCTGTCCTGTCCTGTCCTGTCCTGTCCTGTCCTGTCCTGTCCTGCCCTGCCCTTCCCTTCCCTTCCCTTCCCTTCCCTTCCCTTCCCTTCCCTTCCCTTCCCTTCCCTTCCCTTACCTTCCCTTCCCTCTTTCCTTCCCTCTTTCCTTCCCTCTTTCCTTCCCTCTTTCCTTTCCTTTCCTTTCCTTTCTTCACTGTAGTTTATTCCTGGATCAAGAAAATCCATCTCCTTTCTTCTGGTCTTCTCTAGAATGCTATATTCCAGAATCTGGCTGTTTCTCTCTGAGAAGCTTTTTACTTTGCTGCTTATTGTTCAATCATCTTCCCAGAATCAGAATGCAGATTTTAATAAGCCACTTTCAGATTGGGTAGCACCAGCAAACAAAAGATAGATAAGGACATAGGAGTTTGATAATATAGCTAACAGGATTTAATATGTGATACTTTTAATATTGTCAGCCAATCTAGAGGCCTAAATTTTCTATTTTTAAAATGATTATCACACATTTTTTTCTAGTTTTTTGTCTAGAAGCATTCATTCTAAAAAGAAATTCTAAAAATACCTTTCCAGTACTAAGTCTTAACCAAGTAAACATTTACATATGTACCTTTTCATCTGGCATCCTTTTACAGTGTTACCGTCCAACACACCAGGTGTTCGCAGGACCAAGAGAATACGTTCAAAACCTTTGGAATACTGGCGAGGGGAGCGAGTAGATTATCACGAAACAGCATCAGGTAAAATCTAATTTATACTATAATGTCTGTTAGAAAGTAATACAGATTGCTATTACTTATGTATGCTTACCATATGCCAGGTTCTGTCTTACATGTTTACATATACTCCTCATTTAGTCATCACCACCTAAACATGTTACAATAATAGACTCAAATCCAGCACTGTCTTATTGCTACTGATTTTCCTTCTGCCCTCTTTGGTAGCTGTTTGATTCTGTGGCTTTGTATTGTTATTTTAGTATTATCTAACAAGGCTTCTAATTGGATAAATGATGATCAGGTTAGAACATGAGAAAATTATTCTTACTCATTTTTTCTTATCATATTTTTCTACAGTATGATAGGTAGGCAAGAAAGGAAGTCTATTGTTCTCTTAAAGTAATTTCTTCCCTTTGATAAACTAAAGGACATTCAAATGTGGCTTACACTATTTATATTTCATTATACGTTTGCCTTTTTTTAACCCTTCACCAATGACTGTTTATTTGAAACAAATAATGGGCCATTCAGTCCTGTTTTTTTCTGTCAGTGGTTCCAGATTTAAGGTGACAAAATATAGGTGAAATTGGCTATTATTTGTGTTTGAATTACTAGCTGTAGAATGTAATGACAGTAATATTTTCTTTGCTACTTTGAAAGGCAATGTACTTAAAGTGTTTATTTTAAGCTGTTTACTTTCCCAGACGTATTTTATCTTTTTTTTTTATATTTCAGGAGGATTTGTGATTGGTGGAATACTATCCCCAAAAACAGTAACGACTGAAAGGAAGGCAAGAGAAAATGTGGGAAAAGTCAACAAAATAGAAGATAGGAAAAGGATCTGTCTCGATAACATGGAAAGAAGTATGAACTTATTACAAAAGTAACTTTTAAATTTTATTTTAAATGATACAGTAGTTTGAAAAGAACAGTTTGAAATATATCCCTTAAAAACTGCTGACAATGCTATAGGTAAAATTTACTTTTTAATGGGCATTTCTTTTCAAATTTTGAAAGTAAGCTAATTTTACTCACTTAAATTAATAGTGTTCTGTAAAATGTTTCCTTTTTAGTAAATGACTCAAGGTAAGGTAAAAGAAATTTCAAACCCAAACTGTGCTTATCATAGACATTTTAATTGAATTCTTTCTATAGTTCATTGCATAATTCCAGCTCTCTTAGGGAGTATGCAGAACATTATTTATCCTTTCAGTGATGCAAGAGTTTAAGAGTTGATGTACTTTAATGGCCTTACAGAAAATAGGAAGTTTGAGTGTTTGCTTCTGTATAAGTCATTGTTTTTAATTAAAATTTATTTATTGGTTGTATGTTAACTAGAAGAGACTGTTAAGTCCCTGACAGTTTTCTTCTACAACTTGTGAGTAGCTGTGTTTTGTACTGGGCTTTTTTTATGATTAAGAAGAATTTTAAATAGTTTGTATTTCATTGGTATTTCTTTTGCAGAAAGTGAATTAGTGCTTAATTTGGATATACCCGTAGGAGATCCTTTCCAGCCAACGCAAGTAAAGGACCCAGAAACAAAAAAAGTTATTCTCATGGGTAAGATAGGAATGATTCTGAAAATTTAACAATAGCTAAGAGAACAAATTGTTGGCTTGATGACACTCACCTGCATCCTTTATCTTTCTCTAGTGTTTTCAGCACTAATATCCCATGCCAATCATGGTAGCTTATGTGAAAATGATCCTAGGGGAGTATTGATGGCAGATAACCTACAGGGACATATGCTGTTTTGTGCTTGGGACTACAAATGTTGCCTTAATCATTAGGAATGTTATCTCCCCCAAACACCCAGGCCTACTTGGATCGGGGACACATGATGGCAGGGCTGTCTTTGGGAAATTATAGCAAGTTAGCTGGCAGAATCCGGGATATACTCTTATTGTGGGCCAGATAGGGACTGGAGAGAGGGCATACTCAGTTTTGTCTATAGATTTCAATGGGTGGAAATTTTTGTGAGGATGACGTAAGAACATTAATGGCTATACAGATGCCAACCTCATTTTAACCTTATGGGTGTTTAGGGTCCTACAACCCTCCTCCTGGCTTACCTAAATATTAAGCTTTAGTTTTTGGAAGGCCATCGGAGGGCAAAATACAGGTTATGTAGGGATGAATATTTAGGTTATCCTCAGGTATTAAACAACTGGGCATCATTCATGCGTAGCAAATATGTAAATATCTTAACATTTCTACTGACTCTTCTAGTTAGTACTAAGGACTGTTTGTCTGAATGAAAGGACAAATAGGTCAAACCAGAAAAACCTACGGTCTTAGTATTCCCACTTAAAATTTTGACTACAAAATAGGTTCCATATGACATTTGAACGTCTTAGCAAAGCTTGTACTCCCTTTCTTCTTTCCCTTTTTTTTTTTTGAGTCTAGCTTTTGCTATGTAGTCCATGCTGGCCTTAAATTGATCTTCTTGCTTTACTCTCTGCAATGCTGGCGTTAGAGGTGTATATCACCACACCTGGAGAGCAAAGTTTTTTCTTTATTAAGATTATTTGGCAGTAAAGGTTGAAGTACAGAGTTTTGTTTAATGTAAAAATGTACTGTACCAGGTTAAAAAAGTTTGAGTGTTGTTAAGAATTAACTTTCTGTCTAAAAAATTTGTGCATTTTTCCATATCCTGTGTCTGTGAGATAACATTTCCAAATATCCAGCAAAATGGAGTTAGAATCTGATGATTTAAAGTCTAGAAAGATTGGTAAATAAGAGGAAAGTTTGTTTGAAAGTGAAATCGTAATTTGTAACAACTCTTTGTAGTTTTACTTCATGAATAAAAATTTTGTTACTTAATCATTAGCCTAGCAAGCAGAAAATAATCTGTTGTCATTTGTATTATGGGCTACGTTAAACTTTTAAAGACAGAATTCTTGTGTCTCAGCTAATTTAATTTCCATCTTAGCTACAATAGAAATAATGCTCTTAAATTGTTATGCTAAGACTATAACATTCCCTTATATCAGACTGTTTTTAGTTTATGCATATTAACTCCTTGATACAGTAACTCTTTAACACAGATTAACCATTACTCATTTTTAAGAAAGGAAATATGATACAGAGAGCTCTTTAGTAACTTGTCTAAGGTTGTACAGTCTGTAAGAGGCATGATTTGACCTCTGGCATTCCAACTCCAAAATCAATGACCTTAAGTAATTTCTTTTTTTTGTTGTTTTTTTGGTGCCAGTGGTCGGAATTATCACCTTGTGCTTGCTAGGCAGGTGCTTGAGCTGCTAAGCTAAATTTCTGGCCAATCTTAAGTAATTTCTAAGACAGGTTTTATTTGTAAAAACAACTCTTTATTTTATATATGTTCATATATGTTACATTATTGAATATCTTGCTTTATTTTTTATATAACTATATTTTCCTTAGATCTTATAAGGCCACGAGATACGTACCAATTTTTTGTTTCACATGGTGAGTTGAAAGTATATAAAACATTGGATACACCATTTTTTTCTACTGGAAAGTTGATACTAGGACCCTATGAAGAAAAGGGAAGGCAACATGTCGGTGAAGATACACTGGTGAGTATATTTCTTCATGTATGTTTTGCTCTAGGTGAAACTGATTTGTTGGATTTGATGAGTCATTAAATTAGTTCCTTAGTAACAAATTACTTTTACTGAACTGCAGAGAAACTGGTTTTTGTTAACTGAGCTTAGAGACACAATTAACCAGTGCTTCTTTAAAAGAACATGTTTTTATGCATACTGCTGTGGTCTTGAGATCAGAGGTTTAAGGAATGGTTTTTACTTAAAGGAATCTTAGAATATAAGCTTGCAAAGAAAGCATTAGAATTTTAGAGCTGCAAGGGAATATAGAGATTAGGTCTAATTCCTTATTTCTATCATGCAGTTAAGAAACAAGTTAGGAGGCTTTAAGCAGTCACTGGAAGAGTCAGGATTAACAGTAGTTTCAGTAAGTAACAGTACTGACAAAGTTATGATGGGATTTAAGGTGAGTCATCCAGTCTCTCTCCCCCTTATTTTGTGTCTCTTTGGAGGTATACATAGTGCCTTTGCAGCACTGGTTTGGGGACTGTGTGTGTATATATGAAATAAACTTCAAAGTTGAATTGAAAGTGCAGTTGAAAAACGTTAAATTTGTGGATGTTTAACAGTGCATGTACAACATCTCAGGAATCTTAAATCCTAAATTAAGATAAAAAACAAGTGTGTAGGACTGATAACCAGATTACTAAGTTCTTGTTGGATCGTTGAGCAGAACTGTGTGCAGTGTCATTATTTGAATATCATTTTGTATACTTTAATTTTGTAACTCGAGCAACTATTTCTAAGATGACTGTATGTAACTTATCGACTGGTGATTTCTTATTGTTTATTTTTCTGAAATTCCTGTATTGTTTCTACCCTTTTTCTCTGTTTTTTTTTTTTTTTTTTCTTTCTTTCTCTTTAAATAAAAAAGAAAAGAGTAGCAGTGGTAGACCTCTTAAACCATGGAGAGCACCTGAGCCTGGAGCCCTTGTTCTGTCCCCAGGAAACTCCCCCCACCCCCAGTCAAATCAGCCAAACACCCTAAGTCTGAGAGCTGATTGTGGAACTTTCTCAGGAGAGCAAAAAGAGGTTAAAAAAATAGAAAATATAAAAATATAAAAGTTAAGAGGTGTGAAGTACAGAAAAGTAAATATGTCAGCAAAAGAATTTTAGGCTGCTGTTATCCAAAGAGAATACAACCAGGCCGTTTCCTAGTGTAGAAGAAAAACACTGTGTAAGTTTATCTCCCGTACTTCCTTAGAAATGTAAAGTCAGAACCAGAATCTGATCAGGCTATAGGCCAATCTACCAGTTTATACATGATTAATAAAGATACCTGGCAGTATAATCAGGATACAGCTGTGTAAAAATTTTTATGGTAAATTGCTTGATGTTTTTAATAAATAAGCTGTATGGGAGTAAGAACCGCTGAGAACTGTGTATCCACTGTTTAATCCTAGTGCTGTTAAGGTTTGCCCTGAAGAGTATTTTCTTGTAGTGAGGCTGTCGTTTTCCTTGTGGAATGCTTAGAAGCTTTCCTGATTCTGCTCTGTGGGACCACTCCAGTTGTAAGAAGCAGTACATCTCCAGAAACTGCTCCCTGTAGCATTGAGTGAAAGATGTCACCAGTTACTGTGTGTGGCTTTTATTTGGACCCTAACACAAACAAATTTAAAAATATGACACTTAAGACACAGAAGGACCAGGGATATAGCTCAGTGGCACAGCAATTGCCTGGTAAGCTTGAGGTCACGAGTTTGATTTCTGGTACCCCCCCCAAAAGACAAATTTGAGTATTGACTATCAACTATGCATTTATTTTTAGGTCTGATAACAAGATGGTAATATATTTAAAAGCACTTAATATTTCAGTATACTCTGAAATATTGTGTTATCCAGGGTTTTATTTCAAAATGAGGAATAGATGAAGTAGGCTGTGGATTAGACAGGTTTTTGGTGTTTACTGTGCATCGGAGTTTATCATTTATTCAACTTCTGTGTTTCAGAATCTTTTTTTACAATGTAAATATTTATTTGAATCATGCTTAAGTTTGTGTTTTTGTTTTTTTTTCTTTTTCTTTTTTATCGGTACTGGGGATCGAACTCACGACTGCCTGCTTGCAAGGCAGGAGCTTACACCGCTGAGCTAAATCCCCAGCCCCCATGCTTAAGTTTTAAGAAAGACAAAAATTGTACATAAAAATTATATGTATTAATGAGGTAATTTGTGATCTGATACATGAATATATGTTGCATAATCTTTAAATCAGATAAAACATTTATCTCAAATGTTCTTTCTTTGTCTTTTCTTTTTTCTTTTCTTTTCTTTTGAGACAAGGTCTCACAGTAGTTCAGACTGGCCTTGAACTCACTGTGTGGTTTGTGGTTTGTAGTGATCCTTCTGCCTCAGCCTCCTGAGGGCTGGCATTACTGGAGTATACCACCATGCTGGACTCATTATTTTTTTAATGATTAAAACCATCCAAAACCTTTCTTCTTTTTGAGATCTATCATACCTCATTGTTAACTATAGTAACTTCATTGTGCAGTAGTGTATTGAGACTTCTTTCTTTTAGGTAAATGTAATGCAGTATCCACTAATCATCCTTATGACCTACTCTACTACCTTTGGTAACCACATTCTGCTCTCAACTTTGTTGAAATCAGCATTTTAAAAAATGAATGAGATCATGTAGTAGTGGTCTTTCTGAGCATGGCCGACTGTATTTGTCACAGTGATCTCTGGTTTCATTCATAATACCAAGTATGACATGATTTCATTTTTTTTTCATGTTGAGTAGAACTCCATGGTACATTTATAACATTTTCTTGACTAATAAGTTGATGGATACTGAGGCTATTGTACCTTTTTTGGCTATTCTTTTAGTATTGTTGCAGTGAAGGTGGAAGTACACATGTCTGTTTGACATACTGATTTAGTTTCCTTTAGATACATACCCAGTTGTGGGATTGCTGGATCACTGGATCTTACAGTGGATCTACTTTTACTTTTTTTTCTTTTTTGTACTGGAAACTGAACTCAGGGCTTTGTGCTTACCAGGTAGGCGCTCTGCTGTTGAACTGTATCCCCAGCCCCTACTTTTGATTTTTGAGGCATTTCCAGACTGTTTTCCATAATGACTGGAGTAACATACATTCCTACCAACAGTGTGCAAGGAAGAATTCTCTTTTCTCTGCATCCTTGCCAATATTTGGTATCTTTAATGTTTTTGATAACAACCTTTTTTTTTTAACTTTTTATCGGTACCGGGGATCGAACTCACGACTGCCTGCTTGCAAGGCAGGTGCTTATGCCGTTGAGCTAAATCCCCAGCCCCAATAACAACCATTTTTACTAGGATGATTTTGATTTTGATTTGCATTTCCTGTATGATTAATGATGGAATCAAGATGTTGGCAATTCTATATCTGACTTGCTGGGGATTCAGAGAATAAACATTTCTTGCACTTTTATTTATATGATTGGCAAAATTTAGTTCCATCAGCCTATCATATTGAGGCCCTCATTTGATTAGTAGCTGTTAATCAGGATGTCCTTCTTAGATTCCAGAAATGTGTATTTCTTGGCTTCTGGTCTCCTGTCTTTATGATTGTCTATAGTGAAAGTCTGTTTTTATGCAGATTTCTCTTTTCTGCCTCATTTTTTGCTTCCAGGAGAAGTATTTTTTTATTTTTAAGGGCTCATGTGATTATATAGGACACATTTGGAAAACTTAGAACAATTTCCCTATCTCAGGGTCCTATTTGCTGTGTAATGTGTGGTATGTTTACAGGTTCTGGAGATTAGTACATGGATATCTATGGGAAGTCACTCACTGTTCTGCCTACTGTATTTCCTTTAATAATTTTGGGAGTATATTTGGTTTAATTTGAAATGAGATTTTAATTTTAATTTTATAGGTTTTTTATGTTAATGTTGGTGACCTTCTATGTACCTTACATGAAACATCTTATATAATAAAGACTGGGGATTCCTTCTATGTTCCTTCAGGTAAGAATAACTAGACATTTTACTTCACATAGTTGAAATAGTATAGTTACTCACATATATCATGAAAATGGAAGCTACAGTGGTCAAAACAAAGTATGGTATGACCAATACCAGCACAGGTTGGTACATTTGTTTTTTTCATTTTATCATTAGGTATTAGTATTTTTATACATGAAGACTAAGAGTCATTTATTGTTAAATGTGAAAGACTAAATTGTATATTGCATTCCAGGATATATTTTCACCATGTCCTCTCTCTAAGACATTATAAAGGCAAAGTGTTTTTGGTGGATTATTTTAAAGATACAGAGTAGCATACTGATAAACATGTCATTGGAAATAATTTTTTAATTTATTCATTTAACAAATATGAGTAAGAGTTTTACTATGGCCAAGATTTCCTCTTACGAGGGATAAATAAGTGAATAAAACACACACTTGTGAAACTTAAACACTAAGGAGGGAGAAAACAGTAGCTGTTTTTATAGAGTCCTTAGTATGTGCTAGTATTATTGTGAATACTTTATTTATTTATTTATTTTGGTGCCAGGGATGGAACTTAAAACCTCACACTTTCCAGGCAGGTGCTTATGCCACTGAGTAAAATCCCCGGCCCTGTGAATACTTTCTTAACTTGGTTAAGTTTTATAAATTTTGACTGTATAGAAAATAACAATAATTCTTAATGATAAAAACCTGCCACATATAATGCTGTCCATCTGCATTTCACTTTTGCTATTAATTACGTTGTTATTAATAGCACCATTTGCCTTTTTATTTATCTAGTTTTTCTTTTTCTTTTTTTTTTGAAGAAGGGTCTCATTTTGTAGTACAGGCTAGCCTTGAACTATGTGATGATTCTCCTGCCTCAGCCTCCAGGCTGGTCTTGAACTGTTGATGATTCTCCTGCCTCAGCCTCCAGAGTTGTTAGATTACACGCATGTACCATGATGCCCAGCACTACCTTTTTAAAATTAAGAGGTTTTAAAATTTTATTTAACTTGTACCTTTTATGCTTCATTATAAATGAAAAAACATATGTATGTGATTTAGGAGAATCTGCAACAATTCCAAAGATTCATATAGATTGCTTTCAGAAAGAGATGTTCTTTTCCTGCATTCTAATGCATTTGTTACAGAGTTATACAAACTTCTGTAATCTTTCAAGCCATGTCTGATTTAATAGGTGGTAGTTAACTCTTGCATCCTTTGAGTTTGTAGAGTTAAGTAAGAATTACTTTGAATTAGGTGAATTGTTTTTATTTTGTGATATGTATTGTAACTGTCAGATGATGGCTAAATACTCAAAAAGAAATGACTTCTATGGAAACATTTAATTTTTTTTTTTTAGGTAATTATTACAACATCAGAAATCTCCTGAATGAGGAAAGTGTACTTCTTTTTACTCAAATAAAGAGATGAAACGACGAGGCAAGGTTGAATAGAGGTGTGTGGGTGGATATATACACACACACTCACTGTACATAAAACAGATTGTATGATTGGGACATTTACTTTTGTAACTAAGCAATATTTTTGAATAAAAATTATGTCCAGTTTCTGTGGAACTTGTATATTTATTTTTTATAACTATAGTGGATTTGTTGCATGTAGTGTTACATTTTAAGAAATAAGTGCATATACCTAACATACTGTGTCTTTTTAAATTTTTAAATTTTTTTTTGTTATAGGGGATTGAACTTGTGACCTCACACTTGCCAGGCAGGCACTTAAGCCACTGAACTAAATGTCCCGCCCTCATAGTGCATCTTGATTCTTTGTTTTCTTTTTGGTTTTTTTGAAACATGATGTTGCTACATAGTTCAGGCTGGCTTTGAACTATAGTGATCCTCCTCCTGTCTGAGCTTTCCAGTCTTGATTCTTTTATTCTCTTTTCCCTTCCTAGCTCTGTCTTTAGATTTCTCTTCATTTTCTTTATTATTCTTTTTAGTTTATGTTTGTAATATGTGATGGTTACATTTGTTATGGGTACATGACACATCTTACATCTTTTTTGTTCCTTTTCCCTATCCTCTAGTTCTCTGTCCAAGGTGTAGCTAGCAGTTTTTTTTTTCATATTCTGTAGATTGTCTCTTTGTACTGTTTGGTTGTTTCCTTTGCTTTGCAGAGGATAATTTGATATGATTTTATTTGTTGGTTGTTGGTATTATTTCTTAGGTCATTGGGTTCTGTCCACAAAGTCTTTGACTAAACCTATGAGTTCAAGACCTTTACCCACTTTATCTTTTGGTAGACTGTTTCTGTTTTAAAATTTAGATTATTGATTCATTTTGATTTTAGTGGAATACATGGTGAAGGACATGAATCTAGCTTCAGTCTTCTGCATGTAGATAGCCAGTTTTCCTACCACGATTTTGAAGAGGCTGTCTTTCCTCCGACATGTGTTTTTGACCCCTTTGTCAGTGACCAAATAGCTAAGTATGTCTGTGGTTGTTTCTTCATCTTCTGTTCTGTTTCCTTGGTCTACATATCTGTTTCAGTGCCAGTACTGACCTGTGTTTATCACTGTAGTCATGCAGATAGTGATACCTACTGTTTTCACTCTTGTTGGCTAGGATTGCTTTTGCTCCTGGGTCTCTACTGGTTCCATTTAATTGTCTCATCTTGTCTCCTCTTTTTAGCCAGGATCTTGGTATATAATTCAAGCTAGCATTGAACTCACAGCAAACCTTTTGCCTAAGCCATGCTAGTGCTAGGATTATAGATGTGCATTACCACATTCTTTGCTTCTGTCTTCTCAGTAGACATCTGGGATTTTGACTAAGATATGTCTTGGGGAGCCTCTTTTCAGCATTGTTAGTTGGAATTCTGTAAGCCTCACTTATCTGCATGTTGCAATCTTTTCCATACGTGGAAAGTTGTGTATTATGATTTCTCTAAACAGACTTTTTTATTCCATGGTGCTGTCTTTTAGTTTTTCTGTAACTCCAGTTAACCTTTAGTTTGGAGGAAGGTTCAGAGGTTGATGACTCAGCAGAAAAGGGTTACCTGAAGAGGGTAGATAAGAAGATACTTGCTCTGGAGGTTTTTTTTTTTTGTTTTTTTTTTTTTAAGAGCAGAGATATTTATTGAGAGAGAAAAAAGCTTCTGTCTGAGGGGAGAGAAGAAGTGTTCCCGAGAGGATTGCCTGGAGTGTTCTTTTTTTAATCTTAGTTTTAGCTTAGTGTTAGTGGATGGGAGAGGATCCCAAGAGTTAAAAAGTCTCAAAAGGATGATATCATAATCCCAAACCTTCATTTTTCTCTTGGGGAAGTAAGCAAAATTACCCATTATGAATTTGTGGTCCCCAACAGCTTTGTAGTTCAGGCTGGCTTTGAACTCACCATGTTAGTCAGGCAGCCGTCTTACATAGCCCTCCTAAGTGGGATTATAGTTATGTACCACCATGACTGCCACTATACTTAGAAGTTCTTGGGAAGATTTTTTTGTCTCTTTTCCCATGTTTCTCTCTCTGTCTGTCTGTCTCTCCATCTCTTAGTCTCTTTGTTTTTGTTTTTTATTTTTTGTGTTGGTCAAAGTAGAGTGAAGAGAAATGTCAGTTGATGTGAAGATCTTTTTAGTTATATTTTGCCTTTTAGTAATGTGTTCATGGCTTTTTATTTTTGTACAAAGATACTGTTCACCCCTTCACCTGTTTAATTTTACTTTGACCCTGTCACTGGGTTGTGATAAGAGCATTGCTACTGGTTAAAACAACATCAACAGATGTAATCATATATTGCTTACATGTGTTCAACCATTTTTTACACATGCACCCTTTCCCCATCCTCTTTACAGTCTGTATCAGTGATGGTGAACCTTTTTGATACAAGTACCCAAACTGCAACCAAAAACCCATTTATTTATCATAAAGTGCCAACACTGGAGTTAAACCTGAATACTGAGGTTTTAGCTTGGAAACAATTTATACATCAACATCTTTTGTCTTAGAAAAACAACATGTATGCCATAGGTTTACCACCACTAGTCTATACTGTACTGCTTTTAGCAGTGACTCAGATATGGAAGGAGAAGGTGAGGGAAGGATGAAAGAGGGCTGACAGTCATGAGGAAGAGAGGTAGGTAGGAGCAGTGATAGTTGGAGGCCTTTTATATTTGGAGTACAGGGGAGTGTTGAGGACTTTGATATTTGTGAGGCTGGGATGAAGGTGGGGGTATAATTTGGACTGAGGAAAGCTGTTTTGGTGGTTGGAACCTGTGGATGTATTTGTGCACTGTAAGGTAAGGGAGGGGCAGTGAAGGGCAAGGGGTCTAGGTAAAGTAAGAAAACACTAAAGAATAGGAAATAGAGGGCAGAAAGTTAATATGAGAGAAGATAGGAAAGACTGAAAGAACTGTATAGGAGAAAACACTGAATTTAAAAGCGAAAGAAACTAGCAAAAAATAATACTAATACAGAAGCAAGAATTAGAGAAAAGGATTAGAAAGAAAATAACTATCAAAGCATAAAAGACGAAAATAAAAAAACAAAACTCCAGTGGGAACCCAGATCAAACACTCCATCAAAAAAACAAACTTGCAGTTCCCACTTGTCTATTGTCCTGTGAAGCCACGTGTGCACATGGTCTCTTCCCCCTTCAGGTGGGGTGTGTGTCTGTGCTGCCAGTTTCTCCTCCACCTCTGGTGAGGTGTGTGAGTTTTCTTAAGTCCCACCTTAATTCTAGTTGTGTTTTGGGTGTTTTTAGCCGTAGTCTTCAGTCTCTCAGGTTGTGGGATAAGTTTCAAGAATTGGCCTTTTTAGCCAGCAAACAGAAGCTGCCATGATTCTCAGGCATGGGTTAGGGACCCATGCTTATTCCTGAGCATAAAGAGGATCACTGTTTAGGATTTCCTGCTCACACAGGAAATGGAAAGCTCAGGGAATGATTAGTCCCACCCTACCCACTTGTCAATATCCATGGTGGGACCCTGTGAGTGGGTGGGCACCCTCATTCTCCTCTTTCTACTTGAGTTGGGGAGGCCTTCCCTTGCCCACTGTTTAGCTTTTGATCAAGCACCTGAGTGCATACTGCAGGGATATAGTGTCCCTAGTGTTTTGGAGTGGTGGAGGTAGGGAGAGAGGGACAACAAACGCAGCCTATCCCAGAGCCTGGCCTTTGCAGTGCCAGTTCATTCCATCAGGCTATTAGGCACACTTGTGGCTGCTCCTAATGGAAGCAGGGGTGGGGCTGGTGCAGGTCAGCTGTACAGGCACCATTTCCCCTTTCAGGGATCCAGATAATTGGTTTGATCTACATGGATCATCTTTAGGATTTGTTTTCTGCTTCAGGGTGTAACTACGTCCACTACATTAGAGTACCTATTCTGTGAATGTCTTGAGTGATGCTGTGTCTCTGCTAGTCTGCCATGTGGCATCTCTCAGACTATAGAGGTTTCAGTCCAAGGCTGCTTGGCTCTGTCACCTTCATGCTGTGCTGAGTCAGCACATCATGGCCACTAGGGAAAGTGATAATGTTTTAATCATATGTAAGGAGTACCAAAATCACTGCTTCTGCCACAGGCACACATGCCTTTATCAGAAGAGAGTTGATTGTTAGTTCATCTAAACAGTGTTTTCAAAATACTAGTTTCGAATCACTGATCATTAGATGGTAATATAGAACTATGGTAGTTGAATATCTGTATTAGTTTCCTAGAGCTGCTATAACAAAATATTACAAATTCAATGACATAAAGCAGTAGGAATGTATTGCCTCAGTTCTGGAGAGTAGATGTCTTCATCAAGGTTTTAGACAGTGATGTTGTGGAAATGTGTAGAAGAGATGCTTTGTTTCTAACTTCTGGTGGTTTCCTGGCAATCTTCAGCATTCCTTGGCTTTTTACTTACAACACTGCATTTCCTGGCTTCATTGTTGGTTGACATTTTTTGCTCATGTTTGTGTGTATATGAATCTATTCAACTACTATTAAGCACTTTTCCCATCAGGTGATTTGCTGCTGGAAGTGGTATCTTCTATCGTTGCTTTCTGCACATAGCCTTCTTCCTCATTTTAACATTAAAAGTGAAATGTTTCAGTAAATCTGAGCTAACACGTATTTTTGATTTTTTTGGTGGGTATAAATTCTTGCTATAATTACCATCAACTTTAAGTAAGTTGATGTTTTAGGGTAAGTTTTCCTGAGGCCAGCAGTTTTTCACTGTCGTTTCAAATTGTCTTAGTTGCTTTTTTCTGCTGAGACAAAATACACAACACTCAAATTTAAGAGAGGAAAGGATTATTGTAGGTCACTTTGTAGAGGGTTCGTTTAGTCCATAGTTAGCTGGCTCTGAGTCAGGGTGGCCTAGCAGCAGGGCATCCCAGAGGAGAAACAGTTGATGGCAGGCAGAAGACAGCAAAGCAGTGAAGTAGCAAAGAAGCAGCACTCACACCCAGGGCGGGGCACCATAAATCCCACCCAGAGCTGTGCCACGGCTATCTCCACAGTTTAGTAATCACAATCCCAGCAGCACACACTCTAGATCCAGCCACCTCTGAAGAGCCCCACCTGTGGTCACCTGAGCTTTGGGAGGGACATCTAGATAAACCATAGCAGCAAGTATGTTTTAAACACTAGTTTGAGAGGTTGAGTTTAGGAGGACTTAAATATGAAATGTAAGGTGTTTCTAAGTGCTTTTTTTTTTTTTTAATATCTCCTTTCATGAAACATGGAGGATTATTTCTTTTTGTGATTTTTTAATGTGTTTTCATAGGGCTATGTATAACATTGGTTTGATTTCCATTCATGTATAACTGTTTGATTGTATTATATGTGAATAATATGTAGATTTCTATTTTTAGTTCTTAAAGTGGAGGGCTAGTTTAAAACTTTTTGTCATTTTTAATTCAGGTGTATAGAGCTGCATAATTCCTTTGTAAATACTGTTGTCTCATAAACTTTATTATGCTACATTTTTATTTAATTCTAAAAATGTTCTAATTTTCTAGTGATAGTCTTTATTGACCAGTGATTTATTTTGATGTGTATATTTTAAAAATTCCACTGGAGAATTCCTGTTATTTTCCTACAATTTAAGTATTTTCTCTTGTATTGATGTGTTCATTCATGGCTGTTTAGTTATGCATTTACAGCACGAAAGCAGCCATAGACAGTGGGTAAATGAATGGGCAAAGTTATATGCTGAAAACTTCTTCATTCAACATAATGAACTGGATTTTTTCTGTAGTTTGCGTTGTGGCCAGAAAACTGAGATACAATTTCAGTCTTTGATACATTTAATGAGGTGGTTTGTTCATGCACAATGTGATGTATCTTGGAGAGTAGTTTGTGTGTATTGGAATCACATGTATTCTCTTGTGTGGGATGGAGTACTGTATGTCTGTTGTAACAGATTAGTTAACAGTATTCTAAATATTCTGTATCCTTCATGGGTTTTTTTTTTTGTGGTTATTCTATTACTGGTACAGGAAAATGAATACCGTTCATTCCTGTGGGAAGCCCTGTAATTGGCTGCCACCTTATATCTGCAAGCAGCAGCCACCTTAACCCCCTCTAGGAGTTAAGTTTGGTAGTTAAGCAGCTCCTTGCCTAGCCTGTTTGGCCTATTCAGGGATTATGTTAATCAGCCCACTTTATCAGCCTACATGGGAGAAATTTGAATTAACTTATAACCCTCGGTCTTGCCTCTGTTGCTAAGTTACCTGCTGATGTCTCAGAACCCAACTCCCTCCTTCCCCAATACCCTATATATTTGTTAATCTTTCTTTGAATAAACAAGACTTGATCAGAATTTTGTCTTGTCTCCATTCTTCGTGTCTCTTGTCCCTTCTCATCCCCACTGCGTCTCTAGCGTCTACGTTGACTCACCCACGGGCCAGGACAAGTGGCACCCAATGTCAGACACAAGAACTGAGGACTTCGTGAGGGATGCTGTTCGTGGACCCAAAGTAGAAAAAAGGAAAAGAAAATAAAGGACTTGGCGACGTGGGAGCCTGCCGCACCGCTGAACCTCGGTAAGTGAACAGCAATTATGGGACAAGAAATTAGCCAGCATGAGATTTTTATTGAAAGTTACAGACACAAAGGGTAAAGGAAAAAAACATTAAGCAATTATGTCTATTAGGGCAAGAAATGAGCCAGCATGAGATTTTTGTTGAAAGGCTTTAAAGACATGAAGAGTAAAGGAAAAAATTTAGTAATTGTGTCCATTAGGGCTTAATAAACTTTTATCTTGGGAGCAAAAGTGACCCAGTAATTGCTAATGCGGAACTCCTTCCAGGCTTAGCACACTGCAGCCCCACCCCACAACAGGTGGCCGGTGCAGACAAAGCCCTTAGCGTGACCCTAACCATGTACCCTCCCCCATACCATAATGGCCACACTGCTCCCACTTCAGCGTGTATAACTTTTGATACTAGGAAAAAATTAAGAGGTCAAATTGAAGTTTTGAACAACAGATTGAACTGGAAAAAGAACATCAGGAGTTAATAGCCTAATTAGAAAGGCTAAAAATCGAAAGTTCTAAAATAGAATGTAAAACAAACCCCCGAGTTTCCTCTGGGATTTCTCCTGCTCAGTGACCCCTCCTGAAGGGCATGATTTCTAATTTTACCCCCGGCCTAACCCAATATTGAAGCTAGATGGTATGGAGGCTTTCTCTGTGACTGAAACGATGGACGCAGAGGGCGGAGTTTTCCGCCAATACTCTGGTTTCCATTTCAAACTGATAAAGAGAATTAAAAACAGTGGTTGTATAGTAGGGAGACACAGCCGTGTATACTCTTGCTGTTTTGGATTCTTTGGCTGAGGCTGGCTCACACATACAGATTGGCAAGGATTGGCCTGAGCAACTTTATCAGGTGGGGATTATCTTTTGTGGAAATCAGAATATATAGAAAATTATGAAGAGACCGCCAGGCACAGTACACAATCTGGCAGTGGGGGGTGGGACCTTGATATATTAATAGGGGAGGGCGTCTATGCAGACAGAGAGGCCCAAAAGCAATTTAGCCCAGCACTTGTCACTCAAATTCAAACAGCAGCTGCTCAAGCATGGAGAAAACTGCTTACAAAGGACGATATGAGTTCCTCTCTCACAAGCATTAAGCAAGGACCTGATATATGCCTTTGCTCTGACATTGGAACTGCTTACCAGCAAGGCCTTGCTATAGCTGCTGCCTTGCAAGAATTTATAGTTAAGCATTTCTTATCTCAAAAGCATAAACAAAAATGTTTTACCTGTGGAGAAACTGGTCATTTTGCAAAGAACTGCAAAAAGGACTCCAAAGATAGAACATATTAATATTAAGCATATAAAAGGCATAATTAAAAGATCACATCTGTTGATAAAATAAAAAAGGGGAGTGGTATCATACAAGGGGGCCACCTAGAAATATGCTATTTCATGCCTTATTCATCCTTAATTTTTAAAACTTGGATGCTGCCAGAGAATCAGCAGCGACCTGTTTTTGCCATACTGAAACACAAAAGCAATTTGCTTCTGTACTATGGAGAGACCCCCTGACTAATTCATGGCATGGTCCAGACCCAGTCCTTTTCTGGGGACGAGGATCAGTATGCATTTACTCTACAGAGATGAAATCTGCGATATGGCTGCCAGAGCATTTGGTTAGACAAATAGATCAAATGCAACAAATACAGGATAATGTTACAGATGACTCCAGGGACAAAAATGATCCCTGAGAGATTTTTTCCCAGCTCTTGTTTTTCAGATGATGGAACTAACAGCTTGGGTCCTGTCCCTTGGGATTATGATGATTCTACGGCTGCCAGAAAAGGGAGGCTTTGGACCCCCTTGCAATGCAAGGGCTCTGAGTGCCACTCTGTTGGGTTCCCCATGTGATTGAAAGGGAGATATAGTTAAAACTAAGCCCACCTCTTACACCAGAATGACAAATTACAATGATAAGATGACATACCTTTGATACAGCTCCTAAGTGGGAGGAGGCAATGCACAAAAATGGGTATGTCTCCCCAAGCCGCCTATAAGGAAAAATAAGGATCACCAAAATAAGGATCAATTAGATCCATGTCCTGACTTAAAGTGTAGTGCCAGCCTCCCCTTTAGAGTGCAGCCTATAGGTTTCAGAGATTCCCCTTATCTCCAGGGAAGTTCTCATAAAGACACCTCTGACATTGAGGTTGGGTTTGTCACCGTCACTAACTGCAGTTCTAGAATTAGTTGGACCATAGCTTGGACTCATTAGGCACTTTTCTTTTTAATAAGTTGATGGCTTTTGTCAAACAACAGGTAAATGCCATAAAAATGCAACCTATACAGGTCCATTACCACAGGCTTAAAATGGCTGATACAGAAAATTACGCGGAGCCTGCAAAACTGTATTTTGATAATGCTTTGTGAAAGCATGCTGCCTACCCCATTTCTCTTACCTTGGTGCGATAGACTGGACAGCCAGAGACGGGCAATTGGGCCTCACACAAGATGCCAACCTCCACTTAAGACAGGAACTGGGCCTCTCGCTGCCCTGCCTTCCAGGGACAGGTAAGGCTAGATTGGCCCCCGCTGTGGAAGTGCCCTGACCCACGACAGGCACAGTCTCCTCAAGGATGCAGCTTCTTACATGCCTCTTATATTTTAAAGTAAAGGGGGACCTGTGGGAAGCCCTGTAATTGGCTGCCACCTTATATCTGCAGTCAGCAGCCACCTTAACCCCTCTAGGGATTACGTTTGGTAGTTAAGCAGCTCCTTGCCTAGCCTGTTTGGTCTATTCAGGGATTATGTTAATCCCACTTTAGGAGCCGTGCATGGGAAATTTGAATTAACCTGTAACTCTCGGTCTTGCCACTGTTGCTAAATTACCTGCTGACATCTCAGAACCCAACTCCCTCCTCCCCCAATACCCTATATGTTTGTTACTCTTTCTTTGAATAAAGGAGACTTGATCGGAATTCTGTCTTTTTTCCATTCTTCGTGTCTCTTGTCCCTTCTCATCCCCATTCCCTCTCTAGCATCTATGTTGACTCACCCACGGGCCAGAACACATTCCATGAAATATCTTCCTTTTTGCATTGAAGTATTTTCAGAGTTATTAAGTTTATATATGGCATTTATTTATTGTTGTATCTTTTGCTTTGTTGACCCTTTTATCATTACGAAATATTCAATGATATTTCTCATTTTTCTGCTATTTCTATAGACACTAGCTACATTGTAGGCACTAATTATCTTTTTCTGTGTATTGTGTCATTAAATGTAAAATGTGTCTTTGGTAGAAAACATAGACAATTTGATCTTTTAAGTACAGTTTAACAGAGCTTGTTATTGGAATGTTTAATTCACATTTAATGTAAATACTGGTGTGCTTACCATCATGTCTGCCATTTTCTCTGTTTTCTAGATTTCTCACATCTTATCATCTTGTTTATTCCTTATTACTCCTTATTTTGTGTTACACAATTTAAAAAATTTTAAATTTAACTCTTCTGGATTTTGTAGCTTTCACTTTTTATTTTTAGTGATTGTTTCTAAGATTACTATATTCATCTTTTAAGTTTCCTTGACATTCATCAGTTTATACTTATTCTGGTAAAATAGCTTTGCACCAACATAGCCTTATTTTTTTTCTGTCTATTATTATTGTATATATTATAACATACATATATCTAATTATGTATGTTTGTATATCCAAACTGTTATGTTGTAATTATTTGAATTTATTTTTAAAATTAAAACATTAATAAACAGTTGTTGATTGTCCTTGGTGCTTTTCTACTTGTGTCTCGCTTGACATCTGATATTTTTCCTTTCAGCACAATGAACTTTAATATTTCTTATTATTAGTACATTTTCTCTGATTATTAAATTCTAGGAAGGTCTCTATATTTCTGTAAGATAGCTTCACTTAATGCTAGATTTATGCCTTGTTTTGTGTCAGCACTTTGTATGGTTTCATTGCCTTAATCCTCTTACCATTTTGACAAGATATCCATTACTAATCATAGCACTGCTTTCTATGTGATGAGTCATATTTGTCAAAGTACTCTGAAGATTTTGGTCTTTAATCGTGATTTGGATCTGAAAAGCTTGTGAGTTGAAGGCTTTTCTGATCTTGTAGCATTCAGAGGAGACAGGTATTTGGGAGGTTGTTATTGTTTGGATCTAAAATGTCCCCTGAAGGACCCATGTGTTCAAAGTGATGCTTTTGGAGGTGACTAGATGGAGGTCAGTGGATTAATTTGCTGATTAGTTCGTACCTGAATATGCTGATAGGAAGTGGGCCAAGTTAAAGGGAGCTCACTAGAGGAGTACGTGGAGGAGTATATCCTACCCCAGTGTTGAATAACCCATGGCACGCATGTTTTCCTTTTAAGACAAATGATGTTAATGGGAGCTACTTTTTTAAACTAAAACCTCAGTATTCAGATTTATTTGCAGCATTGGACTTTGCAGTAAATAAGTGGGTTTTGGGTTGTAGTTTGAGCACTCATCTCTAAAAGCTTCTCCAGCGCAGTCACCTACATCATGCCTTTCCTATGTCTCATGTTATTCTCTCTTTCCCCTTGTCCTCCCCCCTCCTCCTCCCCCCTCTCCTGTGTACTCTACCTACTTCCCTCTCTCCCCTCTCCTGTCTCTTCTGTGCTTTCCAGCCATCATGAGATGAACAGTTGCTCCACCATGTGCTTCTGCCATAAAGCTCTGCTGTGCAAGCCCAGAAACAGTGGAGGCGGGTAACCATGGATGGAAAACTGATACTGAACCATAGTAAATGTTTCCTCCTTGAACTTAGTTTTCTTGCCTATTTTGTTACATTTATGGAAAAGCTGACTGTTTGACCATATTTCTAGGTACTGTATTGATTCTATTAGATATTTGGTGAAATACTAACATTTGAATGTGTTTCATTCAGACTTGGAGATTTGGGTTAATATTTAACTTTCTTTTGTCCTTTTTGTTGCCTTTGTCTCTCAGTACACATGTGGTGGGGTACTTCTTGTCTCAGATCTTTGCAAGGCAGGCACTTATGTAGCTGAGCTAAATCCCCAACCCATCTTGGATCTTTGAAGCTCTTTTTCCTTCCACTTTGTTGAGTTGGATATTTTCTATTGGTATTGTTGTACTCTAAGAAAATAGCTTCGTTATATGTGTATTATAGCAAACCTGCAACGTGGCTTACTAAATGTGTTTTTTTATCCTTTTTCCCTAACATGTCAGTTACTCTCCTCTGTAAAGAATTGTAAGAATCTCACCTAATTGATATGTTAACCATTGTTGCCCTCTACAAACTACAGAAGTTGTGCTAAAACAAGCTAACAAGGGTTGTTAATCACTGTTAGGCGCCTCTATTCTCCGCTAAAGAGCTAAAGAAAACTAGAATGGCCCATTTATTTACACTTGTTTAAAGTAACCTGCTTGTGTGCAGAGAGATTTGCGTATGAGTTTAACCCTTTACCTGACCTTGACACATAACCGCCATTTTCTGTTCTGTATGGCACCTTATTGCCTCCCTCTCCCCTCACCTATATATCTAGGCCATAAAGAATTTGGGTTTCTGGTGACCTCTTCCCGACCCGGTGATGATCTGTCATAAAATGAGCCTGCCCCAAATTTTAAGAACTGTTTAGCTTCAAAGAAATTACTGGGAAATACTATGGCCCAAACCCCAATCGGTGCTTTCCTTTTGTTTTGTATGCATCAAATGAGTTAGATATCAGATCTTGTAAAACTTAAGTTTCAGCTTCTTGTAACTCTTGACCCCTTCACACCCACTAGCGAAAATGAGCTGTCCTGGGATAATTAACTGTCCACTTTCTTCCCCAAATATTGCTGCAGATGTGCCACTCCGAGATAATGTCAGTCTGTAGGATGGGAGTAATTTGAGAAACACCAGGAACTCCCGAGATTGTCAGAGCTAAGTGGGCAGCAATACAGTTTCCAGACTCGGGTCAACAAGTTTGATGGCTCTGCAGGTTTCTTTGTTTCTCTCCCCCCCGCCCCTTTTTCCTCCAGCCTCTTTTTAAAGTCCTCCCTTCAGTCTCTGGGACACAGTCTCCAAATTGGCTCCCGGAGACTGGTCGCCAGGCCTGGAAATAAAGCCTTTGCCACCTAAATTTTCGGTCTCTTGCCTCCTTGGATTTTATACTGGGGCCCAAGTTATAACAGTATATTTTTAAATCATTTATTCCTTAATCTGCTATTTCCTGTTTAGTCCATCTAATAAAGATTTACATTTCCAATTTTAGTTATTTTGCTTTTTAACCTTAAAATTTAGATTTGGTTCTTACAGTTGGTTCTTTATTGACATTTCTGTGTATGTAAACTTTATATTTATACTCCTAAATATTTGAATATTTCTCACAAAGTCTTTTCTCATAAAATATGTAGGTCTGTATAGGCTGTTTTCATTGACTTGGTTTCCTCTAGTATATTTAAAACTTAACTGTTTCTTTGCTAACAATTTTTGTTTGTAAGCTAGACATTTTATGTAATATAGGAACTCCAAATTCTGTATCTAAGATATTTTTGATGTATTTTGTTTTAATTTAGATATTGGCTGGACTCATTGTGGAATTTTTCTCACTTGTGGTGAGAAGTTATTGGCTGTGCCTTTCAGTTTTTAAAATTGTTTATTGAGTCTTTATCCTGGCTCTCCAAGGGTGGCCGCTATGTCTTATAGTTTTGTGGTCAGTCAGTGACTTGGTAATGGATTTATACCAGACTCTTGAGTGTAGGCCTTCTACCTTCTTTTTCTGTGTGCAGGATGGGGGATGTGTTCAGCACTGCAGCCAATGTTTTTATGTTTTCTTTGTTTCTTTTTTAAATGCTTCATGTCTCCAGTGTGCTGCATGCGTCATTCAGAGTTAACCAGTATGGAGAGCCCTTTCCCACTACTTTTCTCAGTCCACAAGTTTTAAATTTTAATCCTATGGAGAGGTTACTGGAGTTCTATCGAGTTTAATTCTGATCTACCACTTCCAGGGCAACCTAAGGTGAGAATAAAGACATTAAGTCATATATATATAGTTATGGGGAACCAAGGGAGTCCTAAGTCCAGCCAAGATGGTAGTTCATGGGGAGACCACAATCAAGAGCCAACCCAGGTTTCAGTCCTTCATGAGAGGAGTGGCTTAGAGATGAATGACAGAGTGGTGGGAAATATGTGAGTGCCATGAGCTGGGCTAGGTATGAGGCCTGAAATCACCTCAGCAATTGTAGAGGGAAAGAAATGCAGAGAGAATAATCTAGTAACACAACTGAAATAGTATCTAATATTTTGGGGTTTGTGCTTCAGCTCTAATGTACAATTTTTTCTGCCCTGAGAAGTTGTAGCCTCGCCTCTTTAGACTTGATACCAGCCAATAGCATGGAGCACTGCTTTTCATTCCAACCATACTCAGTTACTGTTCTCAGGAGTGCGTGTTTGTGAGGGGCGCAGCAGTTGTCATCCTGCTTCAAAGATTACACAGGGACACCTCAGCCAGCCCAGGTTACATTGCTTAAAGCCAATTGAAAGAACAAATAAGTGGCCTAGCCAGCTCTGTGCATGTCAGTACATGGAGATAGGGCTAAGTTTATCCAAAACGGAGATAACTGCTCTTTTTTCAAGGAAAGTTATCTGGGTGGTTCCCCACAAGCCAGGAATGTTTGGAAAACTCATTTTAGCACCTTATGTTACTAAAGTCAATAAAATTTTTGACTCTTCTGTCACTG